CATTTTTAGCAGTAATCATTGGTCTATTTACTAGCGTTGCCATTCGGGGAGTTGTAATGAGGCTTTTTTTTATCGCCGTGTAAGAGAAATATATTAGATATTGTTTAAAAAAAAGTTTTTTTTTGACCAAAACTATCATATGCAAAAATTACATAAAAAATTCGCTTTTTAAATTTTTCTTAATTAATTTATAGGCTTCTTTAGGTGCTACTTATGTATTTTTAACATTAAATTTAATGTATTTTAATGAGTTCCTATGTTGCATTCTCTATTTTAGCTATTTTGTGTGATCATCATGCCTAAAAAGAAAACTGGGCAAAGGAAGAAAGCTGAAAAACAGCGTATGCGCCAAAAAGAAATACGAACAGCATTTAATCAAAAACCTTTAGCTGAACATCCTTGTAATTTTTCAATGGTAACAGTAGTTTTTTTTTAAATCAATGATTAAAGATGAATGTTGCAATTCTGAAAAAAAGACAAGATAATTTAGCAGTGCTATAAGAACTATGACATGCAATATTGTGACTCAGAATATTTCTTTTATTTTTAACAAATGCAATTCAAAGTAATTTCTGGGAAGTAAAATTTAAAATTATGTATTGAGCTCTTGTAACAACTATTAAATTATAGCTAGCTATTAAAACCTGGGCAAACTGGATGCCTAGTCAGGTTTTTCACTGCTTGGACTTGGTTAGAAAATCCGGTTAACTGATATCCAGACTCACCCGATTTTCTCATTTATTCTTGACTTAACCATATTGTGATTTATAGTAAAATTAAAACAATGATTGCTTTTAAAACCCACATAGTGTCCATCAATTTCTGAGCCATTAAAGCTGAAATTCTTGATTTTGGGCAGGATAGATGTTGCTATTGTTTCTAAGTTTTAATTGATTATTATAATATTTAAATTTAATTTAACGAATGAAAAAGTTATAGAAAATATTACAAATTAAACTTATAAATAAGCTTACTATATAACATAAAATTAAGTGAGAAAAAAATAATATTTATTAATATTAAAAATTAAGTGTATGTATATTTACACATTACATTTTAAGACAAAGTTAAAATTCTATTTCAGTTAATAAGTAAATGCATTGGTTATATTTTATTTCGTTTGTAGATATAGCTTTTAATAAATAAGAGACGAAGAGAAATTTCAAACATATCTTTTTACAAATGACACATTAAAGTGTTCCAATATTATTAGTTATTAATACCAATGAAATAAACTGTAATGTTTGTAATAGAAAGCTGTAATGTTTGTAATAGTGACTAAAACACAAAATCAAGAAATAAAATAAAAAGTTTGTAATGTTAGGCTTAAAAAATATAATATAAAAATATGTTTCAATATTTTTTAAAAAAAAGAAAGAATCAAACTTCTTTTTTTTTTTTCAAATGTCAGAATTTAAAAATTGTTGTATGATTTCTTAATTTAATTACTATTTTCTTTTCTCTTTTAGGAATGTGATAAGTGTAATAGGTATGTAATTAATGTTACTTAAAGTATCTGAATATTTCAATTGTAAATAATATGTATGTCTCATTGAGTTTTTAATTGTGTTACAGGAAGCAAAAAAATAGGGCTTTTTGTTATTTCTGTTCTGCTGTTCAAAGGATGCCCATTTGCTGCCAATGCGGTATATTTTATTTTATACCTTAAATTTATTACATTTGGTCTGTTATTATTTTTTCTCTGCTTAAATTAAATATCTCTTTATTGAGAACAATTTGTATATGTCATCAATTGCTTAGGGCTATTGATATTATCTGTACTACTTTATGTGAAGCATTTTTTAAATGTAATAAACAAATTTTCTAATGTTAATTTGATTTTAAGAAACACAGTCTTGCATAAATTAAGGTAAACTACTGCATAAAGCATGAATAATACCACATTACAGGCATGCTATATTTTGATTAATTTCTGCCTTTTTACTATCCCTTGAAACTCATTTCCCCCTTTCAAAACTACAAAGCAAAGATATACTATGTTTACTCATTTTGAACATTTCATAAAGAGTTTTAGAAATTAAATGACTAAAGCATAGAAAATTTTGATGAATCAATTTTTCATAGTTTTTTTTTTCTTTTTACATTAATATACTAGCTATTTAAGCATATGTAAACCATCGTTGTACAGCCGACTCAAAGTTGATTTTGCGACTACAACTCTGTAGCCTTGTAATTTTGAACCCAATTTGGAAGACAAGGAAACTCTTGGGTCAGTACTCCCAGAGGTGTTGATTTGTTATGAGAACTTGGAGGACTTTGTGACCCCCAACAGATTTAGGGTGCACCAGTCACCATTTAACACACAAGGATTCTTCAGTCTGCGGAACTCAAACTCCTGTTCTCCCAAACAAGTGTCCAACTCCCTTCAAACCAGGCTGTGTTTGCATTTCTACACGCAATTGGTCTTTTATACTGTATCTAACTGTTTTATCCTATTCACAATTTTATCTGATTTTATTCAGCTTTGAATGCAACTGTTTTATAATGCTTTACTACATTTATATTTTATCTGATTTTACTCACTTTTGAATACCTCTGTCACGTTGTATCTAGTTTTATAAATTCCGTGTGATTTTTAATCAGGAAAATTTGTAATCTACATTTTTATTAAAACCGTTTGTTTGGCGCAGCATGTCCTTCTTTGGACTTTGTGCCATTAAACCCTACATTCAATCAATCAATCGTACCAGGCTGTGAATTTCAACATTTTTAATGAACTCAATGTGTTATTAGTAACTTTTTTTTATGAGATATCTGGGTTTTTTTCCTTCGCTAATATTCACTTCTCTTTTAGTTTTTTTTCTCTCTATTATTATTTAAAATTTTTAGTTATTTTATTTTTTGAAACCTGTTTATTTAAAGCTTCAGCATCAAGGTTAATTAAAATATACTTTTTACAACAACTGAACAGTTATTTTGTTGCGGTTGAAAAGGGACACTAAGAGGAATCCGATATTTTATTTTGTTTGTTAAAAAATATTAATGAAGCATTTTTGTTCTTCTGTACTGGCTTTCGTTATTAACTACATCATATTACTGGTAAAATTCTTGATGCTCATATTGTATATTACTTTTTTTTTTAAAAAAAAAGGTTTTGTATTATTAATTTATCGAGAAATGGAATGCCTCTGAATAATTGTACTTTGAAGTATTTTAGTTATTCAACAGGGTTCCCATGGATCAGAAAGAACAGGGAAAACCTGGAATGGTCAGGGAATTTTATTTTAACTCCAAAAATCAGGGAATAGTCAGGGAAAGTTGAAATTTTTTTGCAAAAACTTGAACTATTCCTGTATCATACCTGGAAAATAACCATTCTTAAAATTGTCAGTGACAGTAATCAGTTATTGATATTCACCTTAAATAATTCAAACACCTATTACAATTATTTGTTGTAAAAATGTCACTTTTTAGTCAAACTGAAATGTTCCCATCCTCATTAAATGATATTTTTTTCCCAGAAAATCTAATATTAAAAGTTTTCTGATGAAAATATGGTCTCGATTCACATTGAAATTTACCTGGAGAAGTCAGGAATTTTTTTTTCTGAAATTGAGTGGGAACCCTGTTCAATATGAGCTTTGTTTAGACATTTTGAATTCCATGGGCTCAAAAAAAAATCATTTTTAACTTTTAGTTCTATATCCCTTTATTAAAAAAATATGATAACAAATGACAATAAGTCATTGAAATGGTTATGATTTGCATTTTTTTTTTTTTTTTAAGATAAATAATAAATTTAGATTTTATGGTTTTTATCTATGTTTTAATTCATCATCCT